TAGTGTAGTGGTCGCAGGCTGCTCTGCTGCTTCAGGACGACTTGCTGCACTTGATGGAATCGTTAATTTTGCTATCCCATCAGTAAATCCTGAAGGATTATCAATCTGAAGTCTGAAGCTCAAAGAAATGATCTGAAACACACCAGCGAGTCCACCTCTGAATGACTCAAAGACAGAAACAAAAAAACAAAATGAAGGTTTTGGAGTGACCCAGTCAAAGTGTGGACTTAAATCTGATGCTTTGGCATGACCTTAAACCGAGTTTAACCAGGGTTGTTCTTGCTGAGCTCTCTCAGGAAGTGAAGTCGCTAACCGTAACACCCATGCAGCAACTTGCGGTGCTGTGGATGTCAGACCTTATGGTCCATTACTCATGTGGATCATTGGACCCATGCATGAGTAAGCAGCTCGGCTTTTTAAATTGTTTCATTTTCAGCCACATATTAGTCACTTGTGCTCACTAATTTGTATCAAGTTGTACCTGTGGGAGTTAATTAGGCCAGGGGCTGTTACAATGAGTGTGTTAGCACTAAGCTAGCAGCTCTGGTTTTGGGTCTTTGATCCTGATAGATACTGAATCCATGTCTTTTGTTTTACACACTATTCGGTTACCTTCAGTACGCTTAATCTGTGTCCTCTCAGTTTGAGACCATGAGTTAATAATGAACACATGAATTATTAAACATGCTATAATAAATATTCACATTGATCAAATGATGTGAGTAACGTCAAAAGTGTGTCTGGTTGTAACAAACTTACGTAGATCAAACACATGGCGCTAGGGTGAACAGAGATCCATCTTTTTATCCGTCGTCTCCAATAGCACATATTGAGACAATGTCCTACATTTTGATTGGCTCTGCACTGCAGGACATGCACTTCTCTAAAATCTGTAATATATGAAGTGAAGACTTTTTATTAAAGAAAAATTAAGGTTACTGAAGCCCAAAGGCTGTTACCAGGCAGAACAGCAGCAACAGTGAACAAAAGCAGTCCCCCTACGGACAATGACTTTTACATCGACTTTGGTGTTTTATGATGTTTTTATTACAATATGATGATTGTATGATTTCATTTAAAACAAAAGAAGAAAATGTTATGTACTGCCCTCTCCATGGCTTTTCATATGACAGATTACTTGATATGGTTTCTCCAAATTTGGGCACTAAAATGAAGGTCAAAATCAAATGTTTAGCCAGCCAAGGTATTGATGTCCACCAAGGTGTAGCATATTGTTGTGAAGTTAGAAGATCCATCCATTAAAAAAATATGAGTAATATAAAGTTTTTTCTGATTTTCACATTTATTGTGACCTTGATCCGATTGCATGCTAGACTGTTAATAAACAGAACTGATTAAATACTCGTCCTCCTCCTCCTCAGAGGAATTAACAGATAATATAGACAATAAGAACAAACTTCAGCTTCCCTTTATTCTCGTTATATTTACTTTTAGACTGTGATCTGGTCACCCTACACAGGACCCAATCACACAAGGCAAGTTTGAAGAAGAAAAGGAGATTTATTTGTGTCATTCAGCTGAGTAGAAATGCCAAGAACAGAGAAATCAACAGGTTGTACTTTCACAAAAACTTCAATCGCTAATTTCCCCCCCCATAAAGACTGTAAACGGTCAAAATAACCATGTGGGTAAAATATATGGAGAAAAAATAATAGAAAATGTCTTTGTTTTAAAACAAAACACTGTAGTATGTTTTTATGGATTTTTTTTTTCATAATACTGAACCAGGAACAAAACACAAACTAACTTGACAGCAGAAATGGGGACAGCATTATAAATCATCATTATAAATCCACAAAATACTAAATGGCTAATTGTTTACACACAAAACCCACTTGTGAAGGAGAAAGGCAGGAAATAACAAAAGAAAACATTTAAAAATGGTTTCAAAATAAAACAACCAAACTACACTGTTCCAAAAAATAGTAATGTCAAAGTATCTTACTGTATATTTTACCATTTTGTACTGTCTTTCTAGAATATTATTAAATTTACATAAGTAGACTGATTTTACATGTCAAAGGTAAAATAACATAACATCACTGCAAATATAGTAAAACACAATTTACTTGTTTTTTAAATATATTTTTTGTACATATGCATATTCAGATTGTTAAAATACATTCAGAAATGTATTTTAACAATTTCACAAATATTTGTCTGTTATGTGAGAGAATGATCTGTTAAATTCAAATGTAATACTATGGAAAAATATATAAAATGATCGAAAATTA